TTCTTAAAACTATTTTCATTGTTCGGATTTGGTCTTATAGCCCATAGCAGTGTGCTCTTCCCTGCAATCAAGTTTGGATCTCTCACCCCTTAATTTAAAAGAATTAGTGCACATAAAATATCGCTTATATGAAGAAAAAAAATCTTTAAAAAATATATTGTTCACTATTTTGGGTACATCGATCTAACTTACCCTATCAAAAATATTACATTAACCAACAAGATTTCAGTTAAGTGTACACAATATATACAAATATTGGGCTACCTTGTTAATTAGGTTAGAAAATTAAAAAGAAAATTTTCGGCAGGGGCTAGGGTTTGTAAATTGTAAGCTTATGCATATGCATGTCGAGTATATATATATAGTATCGAGTGTCGAGTGTCGACATAAAGGGAATGTTGTCCTGCATAAGTGCACTTAAAATAAGGGCCCTTTTGGAGTGGTGAGTGTTGTCATATGCAGATCTGCAATATGAATCTCTTTCTCATAGTGTCGACATGGGGTTCATGGGACTATGGGAGAAAAGCACAAAAAAGTTTATAAGCTAATTGTATGAGAAAATCTCAGGCATCGACAGTCTCAAACCCTCCAAAGATGTCAACATTCTCTTGAGTCAGGTTGTGAACATATGCCACCAAGCCTTGTTCATGTTATTGAAGTGTCCAAAGAAAAACAATTATTAACTCATTGAATTTTTGGAATAGTTAATCAATAGTGAAGTAGGATTAATATATAAGACATTAATTCAAATCTTTACAAAATAATATTGAAATTTTATATGTGTTCACATTCAATTCTAAATCAGTGTGCGTGATTCCATCACGGCTTACATCATAGTGAGTCGCATTATTTTTTATTTATTTGTATTTTTTCAAAGTATAGCGTAAATCATTTTGACTTATGAATACTTAAAAGCACCAACATTTTATTACTAATGTAGTTTGAATTGTGCGTGTTGGTCTTTTGGGTATATGAATATATAACATTACCTAAAAGATAACAAAATCTAATCATGGACACCACCTTGAGTGAGTTGACAATTCTCATCACCAACAGAAATTGCTCTTCCCCTTGCATCAACTGACCAACTATATGGCGTATCGGATGCACAAGAGTTTCCCCAATTATAAAAGATTCAGGAGATATTTTTGTATGTCACTAGTTTATTACGTGACAATCGTTTATTCATGACTAATACGTTTTTTAGTGAAAAATATTTAGTGGATGGTACTAGTTGCATAAAAGAATTCTCCAAATTTAGACTTTCACTTAGTTACATGTTTCTTACCTATCAAAGAAAATACGAGCTTTTTTACCCAACAAATAAAAATTGCATAAAACAGAGACATAAAAGTGACAATTTTCTTAACCTATCAAGTACATTGAGCTATTAGTCCAACCCGCCATATTAGTGTCCAAAGGGTATGTGTATGTTCTTCACCACAAATCGACATGTAAAATCATGAATAAAGTTATTAGACTTGATTCGCTCCAAAACAGTTGCAAAGATTTCAATCTTAAGATTAAATTTGAGACAATACTGACCTTTAGTAGCTAGATAAAAAGGTCATAAGACGTCCAATCCACATTAGGCAAATCAAAATTGCTTGGTCGGAAGACATGCACTTAAATGCCATTTAGCTTTGCCGGTCGACATTCATGTGCACGGAAGTCCTGCCTTGCACGATTCATGTTCTGACTTCAATTATATATCTCAAGTACCTAGCAACTAACAATTCTTGTGACACGCCCCGACCCCGATATTCCCCGAATACCAGGATAAGCACGTGCTGGCCGACACCCGAGGGTGACGAAAGCCATTTATTAAGTGTAAATGCTGAAAATAAGAGATGAATAAGGTTTATAAATATAAAAGAATAATTAATATGCAAATAAGGACCGTTTTCAGAGCACACCTCTAAGCTAGAACACTAAAAGAAAATAATATAAAATTGAATGAAACAAAGGAGTGGGTCCTACACCGAGAGGACTCGAAGATGCCGATGCGGAAGTGCCTGGACGTCGGGATTGTATGCCTCGATTCTAAGTCCTGAAGGGGGCGCAAAACAAACATGAGTGGACCAAGTTGATATATATATAATAAAACAGTTATCAACATACTAACCCCCAGGTTTTATGAAAACACATATGTAATGATAAACATAGGTTTTCTGAAACCTAGCATGTCGTGCAATGTCTCAAATCATAATTCGCATAAACAATAATAATCACTAGTGAATGTCCGATATAACACTTCAGGCCCCATGCAGGCTCCTCGTCTCTGCGCAGACAGTCAGAGGAAAACACACTTCAGGCCCCTTGCCGGCTTCCCGTCTCTGAGCAGACAGTCAGAGGAAAACACACTCCAGGCCCTATGCCAACACCAAACCGTCGCCCGGGACGGACCGGATCTATCCCTACGTCCCGTAGCGGAAAGGACCACTAGGTAAGTACAAAACCAGTGAACATACATATATTGAAAATCAACTTCATAGTATAAAGTCATCCATCATCTATACTATAAAGAAGTGTTCTAAACATGTTCTAAATATCATATCGTCATCCATCAGATATTCTATAAGAACATGGGTTATAGGAAAAATAGTAATAATTCAAACTAGCCTTAGTAAGCATGTTATCTCAAAACGTTTCATAAAACATAATCGTAAAATCATGCTTTTCTGTGTATGCAATTCTACCATTAAAACATGCATTTTTAGAAGGGGTCCGCTCACAGTACTTCGCCGTCGAAAAGCCACGCCGTTTAGCGAAGAAGGAAACGCCACAGATAATCGCCCCTAAGCACATAAAAGGTACATTTAGTCAAGCTCTACTCAAACGATTGAATTTGGAAAAATGGACATCGGAAACGGGTTCAGAACGTCGAAATTAGGCTAGGAGGGGTCCCACACGAAAACTAAAAAAAGTCAACGGTCAAACCGGTCAAAGTCAAAGTCAACGCTGACCGTTGACCCAGTCAACGGTCAACGCGTCAAGTCAACGGGTCAGGGTCACGGGTCAGGGCCCTAGGGTTTTGGGTTAGGGTAATTGGGTTAAGGTAATTGGGTTAGGTGTTAGGTGGGTTGGGTTTTAGGTTAGAAACCACACAGCCCAAAGGCCTAAATAAAAGGGTAATGGGTTTGGGCTTGGCAGGAAAGGCCCAAAGGCCTTGGGTTTTTAAAGAAACAAAATAAAAATAAAAAGGAAAAGGTTTTGGGTTTTGGGCCAGAGACCAAACAGGCCTAAGGCCCGTGTGAGGGTGGAGAACGGCCCGAAGGCCTGGGTGCGCCGGAGAAGGACGCCGGAACTCGGCCGGAAAATTCCCAAGCTCCTTTGGAGCTCAAAACTCAACCAAAACATGTCATTCAATATACCAAATTGAAGCCCCGAAGGTAAGGAATCGAAATATACCCTTGGTTCCCGTCATCGTGGTCGGAGTTGGCCGGAAAACAACCTGGAAGCCACGGGTGTCCGTCGGAAACTTGCACGCCGGCCAACACGCCGTGGTTTGGCTGGAAATCGCCTCGAAAGTCACTGAGGTCGCCGGAAACTTGCACGCCGGCCAACTCGCCGTGGTTTGGCCGGAAATTGCCTCGAAAGGGGCGGTGCTCGCCGGAAAACTGGGAAATGTCTCCGAGGTGGTTTCTTCATGGTTTGACGTCCAAAACACATCCACGGGGTTAGAAAAGAGTTATAGGTGTGGGCATGGGTGTGTATGTGTGTGGGTGTGTTCGCGTTCTGCTCGGAGGGAGGGAAAGGAAGACAAAGAGAAAGAAAGAGAGAGAGAGAGAGAGACTTTTCAGAAAAAAAAACAAAAGAAAAGGGAAAGGGAAGGAACCGGGGGAACAAAAACATGGGGTGGGCCCCTTGGGCTCACCAATTAAGACTCAAAAACAATTTTAAAAAGGAAGGTATCCCCCAAACTTAGTGAAAATACAAAAATACCTATTTTCTTACGTAAATTCCGGGACGGTTTGTTACATCTTGGGTGCTCAGGAAGTATCCGGAAATTTGAGTGTTTTAACCATTAAATTTCAATTTTTGTTTTTAAATAAAGATCTAATAGTTAAAATGCTAGAAGTATCGAACCATTACTATTCAGTTTGTGTATTCTGTGCTGACACATGGCCATGGGCATGAATAACTGCTCATTTGTTTGGTTCTGCAATAGTTGCTTAATTGTCATCAATAAGTATAACCACTCTCTTTACGATTTTTTCCAAATGCAAGTTAACGGTTTGGATTGAAGCAAAGTCGTTTTTTCAAGACCAGACAGCTAACAGCCTCCAAAGTCATGAAAGTGTGGGAAAACTGCATCATTCGTATAGGCCTAAAATATTTTCAATGTTTTTTTTCGGGTTCCGTATCTTTAATTTTTAAATAGTGTGGGAACGGTGCAACCTAGTTTGATTAGGGTGAGGATCTAGGGTTAATTGATGAGGAAAATGAATAAGTACACGAGGGAAATGAATAAGTCTCAATAAAATTTTGTCGAGAATTTCAATTTAGTTGAAGGAAAAAAAGTATCCCACACCAAATTTACAAATCAAAGACTATCCCCAACTAACAAGACTAATTTGATAACAATTTCCGTTTTGAATTTAGGTTTTAGCTATACGATATTGATGCTTGATTTATCTAAGACCGGTTTTATGTTAGGGTCATAGAGATGCAATTTAGCTCTTTTATGGCTTGATTGAGGAATACTTATTGTATAGATGATTTTGATGTATCAGTTCGACTCGTTGTGAGTTGGAATAATTGGTTGCTAATATCCCCTTTGTGGATGCCTTGATTTAGACCCAATTCGACCTTAAAGTAAGAGTTCCAAGACCAACTATTTTTGGCACGTCCAACAATTATTTGCCTTCCTCTCACAAAGAAAGGACACACAACAATTTTTTCTGGTAGAAAGAGTGCACTTATTCAGCTCAAAAGAAAAAGATGGACTCAGCCCAAAGGAGACTATCTACAATAAAAAGGGGGTCTAGGCCCGCACGGACAGAAAATATTACATGTATAAGAGAGGGATCACAGATACAGAATATACATACATGCAAGTCGTAACATTATTACAAGGTTCACAAATACCATATGAAAAAGAAGACATTAGACTGAAATAATCAAAGGCTCTAACGCTACTTAGGTCGAATGTTAGAATCGACCAAACACCTGATACAATGATATCACATACCATCATGAATATTTCCAGTTCCAAAACCAGTGTCAAACATCACAGGTCCTCCGGTGCTCCCACCGACGCCTTCCATGAGAGCAAACCTCATGTCTTCAGATGGTTTCCAATGTCTCTTCCTCTGGTTTATGAACCAGTTGTTGATCTGCCTTTGGTCCAATCCAGTCATCTCAGACAGCTGCAATTTCTCCTCTTCCTACATACACATGTTTACCATCGTCAAATTTTGAAATAATCCTAAACACACACATACATGAAACTAAATTTCCATTAACCTTAATTTGAACCAGAAAAGAGATGACATTGTAATGAAATTACCGTAGGATATGGCCACCTATAGTGAATAGTCCACCAATCCAATAAGGTAGTCCTGGCATCCTTCGGTAGCTTCCCTTTCTTTCTTTTCTTTAAGAACTCCTTCCTCAAACTGCTAAGGTAGCCACTGTACTTATTCAGCAGCATACCTTTCAGTTCCCGATCACCACTAGAATGAGCACCACCAATTTCTTGACTCTCTGCTGCTTCCACCACCCCACAGTTAAGTTCCTCCTCTGAACTGCCGACCCCTTCATCTGCATTACTAAAAATTAGTCAGCAGTCCTAAGTTAAGCATATAATATTGCAATTTACATGCAAATCTCACTGCCGATCCCTTCTTTAATTTTGGCACGACCAGTAAAAAAGGAACGTATAAAAAAAGGAATCATAACTTAGTGTTTTAGAGAAGAATTCTTGATTGGAGCTGTTATTCACAATCCAAAAAATCATCTTGCAGACCTCATGAAAAAAATGAAAATAAGTGCATTTTGCGGTGCTAATTACTTTTAAGTGGAAGGCCAAAAAGAAGTAGATTACTTTTAATCTTTATTAGACGACCATGACCAGAGATTTATGGATCGTTTAAGGGCTGGTTTGGTATTGTTGTGCTTTGAAAAAAAGATGATTCTGCTGTGCTGTGAGAATAAGCAGTTGTAAAATAAAGCAGCAGAGTGTTTGGTAAACTTTTTTGTAAAAGTGCTTTTGAAAAAAAAAAACAGTATTATAGTGTTTGGTAAACTTTTATGTAAAACAGATGTGAAAAAAAACCGATTTTTCAAAGCTGGGTTTTGCAGCTTCTTGTTTTTGGCTTTTTTTCACCAAAAACTGTGAAAAAAAGCTGAAGCTGAATGTTTACCAAACACAAAGACAGCTACCAGCTTTTTTTGATACCAACTTTTTTCAGAATCACCTCAGTATCAAACTAGGTCTAACCCTATCCCCCCATTTTCTTCTACTCAGTAGTACACCAAAATTGCATACTTTGGATGTAGCTGATTAAGTTGACTAGAGTATGATGTTTCTCTCCATCCAAATTCGAGTTCGAACCTCTTTTTATAATTTACATTAGATTAATTAAAATATCTCTTGAATTAAATAAAGTACCCGCAAACTTAAACTTAGATTCGTTCACAACCTCGTCCTATTAGAACCACCCTACTATTAATTAGGACAATTTATTAATGTTTAGAAATTAGGGATTTTATGTAAAATTATTTAAAAAATTCTCTCTTCAAAGCCTTCATATGATTTGAGCATTCGCTTTATATAATTTTATGACGAAACACTAATTCACATGTTTCTCTTCATAAGTGGTTTTGATCCTCTCAAAATAACTTACAGACGGTCATAGAAGGCTTTGTGAAAGTACTTATGAATGTTTATTATTGTGAGAATGGAACAAGTGATATCCGAGACTACCGGTGGAGTTATGAGGTCGTCAGGTCACGCTTCTAACTATCCACCACCAAGTCACTTTCAAATGGTTCTCTCTCTCTTTCTAGGGCATCAGAAACACCATCATGTTATGCTCATCCCACGTGTCATGATTTGTCCATATATAAAACAGAAACCAATTAAATGAAAGCCATGTACAATCTCGTACGCATACAACCTCCTTTGGACTGATGAATAAACAGATGTACATGCATGTACACACGTGTCTTCTTCTTCATACAATTAGAAGAAGAAAAAACAAAACCAAAACCTAGACTGGATGAAAGTTAAGGGAAAATGTTTATATAAGCTACTGAGGGTGGCCTAGTGGTGAGAGTGGTTAGGGCTATGAGTAGAAGTAGGTTCAAGGTTTGAAACCCTCCAAAAACTAAGATTGAAAAAGGAAAATGTATTTACAGCTGAAGAGATTTATTTACCAGAGTGATTGTCCCAGGTATTTGGGAATGTCCCTTTACAGAGGTTGCTAAGTTGAGTTTGAATGTTGACCAAGAATGTTGTTGCTTCATCGAATGGCTTAGATAGCTCCTCCTTGAATCTATGGAGAACCCCAATATATGATTCCTTGCAAAACAACGAAAAAGATACATGTAGAAGCTCACAAATTTAACCCTAGTTTTCTGTACATTTTCCTTTCTTTTCTCAGCAATCAAACAGAACTTAAAGAGTACAAAATATCACAAAAGAAATAAATAAAAGTGAATAATTAATCAGTATACCATGAACTCGTCTAGTTCTGGATCAGCTCCTATCTCACTGCAGGTGCTCATTGGGTGGCTTACCCTTCCAATTTCTTCAAGCAGATTTTTCATCTCCGCTGGTGCTCCAACCTGTAAAAGTATAATATTCTATGAAAAACTCAAAACAACCAGATATAATTAAAACCCTGCATACTGTTTGCTTAATTAACGAATACGGCCAAATAGTGAGGATGCATTGATATGGTTAGGAGAAGTTACGTTTAGAGTAGGTTAGGTCTAAAGTTCGAAAAGTCCAAATGGAACTGAAACATTATAAAATAATGCCTGGCCTCTACTATTTTAATTTACATATTTTAATTTTCAGGGTACAGTGAGTTCTAAATAACACAGGAAATCATTAATGTATACTGCAAAAATTAAATAAAGATAAGAGACTATTCATGCACTGGTGCATTAATTAATTAACCTTTTGGCATTCTAGGCATGCAGTAACTAAATCAGAGAAACGAGGGTGACTGGCTATCCGGGACTTGATCAGATCAGACATATGATCGGATCCTAAACCCTCCGTCCCAAATAACAGCATGTTATGATCATCCACCACATGACCACCGCCATGAAACCCACCACAACTGGCGCTGCTAGTACTAGCAGACATATTTTCAACTTGCTGATGAACGTTCACATGATCATTTGAGCCAGCACATGTCACACCTGCGATCATCCTGTAAAATTCCTCCATATGTATATCGTTCTCAAAGAAAAATGTAGCCAAAAATTAAGCAACAATAATGTAGTGATAATTGCGAGGGAGGGTGCAAGTGCAAGAGAGAGAGATGGGAACTAGGAACCAAAGGTTTTTGTTGTTTTTGTTTTTGTTTTCTTGTGGGGAAATTTTGAATTTTCACATGGAAATTGACTAAGACTTTACTTTCTTTTCCAAGAAAAAACCTGAGAAAAAGGGAAAGACACAGAGAGAAAGCGGAGAAGGAACCTCAAGGTACAGTTGTTTGTGCGTGGAGAGAGGATTGGAGAGACGATGGGAGAGAGACTTCTATTGCACAACGGATGGTAGGATGGAAAGGTTTAGGGATTAGGAGCCCATATTTATGGAGATCCAGCAGTCACTTTCCTCAGAGCATTGGAACTTTGGAATTACCTTCAACCGTGACATGACATTCTTGCTACGTTTCCGAACCCTATTGGTTCAGAAACTGACACTGTAATGGTTGATGGGTCCAGATTCAACTCTTCATCGAAGAGTTTGCTCTCCTGTAATTTCTTAACCAATTTTATATCTTACAACATCCGTTAATGTAGAACGAAAATGATACAAAAATAATGAATTTTAAGTTAATATAATAATTAATCGGGTTATTGTTACTTATTAAGAACCTGTTAATGATGAATTTCTTAACAAATTTACACGCAAGTAATCCGTTTTGACTTGCTATTAAGAAAACCTTTCAAGTTGCTACAATAGCAATAATACTTGATCTCACATAAGTGAGATTTTTAAAATTTCCAAAGCACATTAAAGATATAAAGCAATTTAAAAATACTAAAACACATTAAAAAATTCATAATAATTCATTTACAAATGTGAAAAATATACAAACGCTTATGATCGCATCATCTACACTTTAACGATGAGTACATCGTCATTTAAATTTTACTCTACAAATCCTCATGAATAGTGTTTTTAGGGGGACTTCAAAATAAATAAAAATTCAAAATAATTAATATACAAGTTGAAAATGTGAAAAAAATATATAGGAAAGTGTTATTGGCACTCCAAATATCTTATTCTACATTTCTCACAAGCGTATTTTTGCTTCCAAATATAGAAAGTTTAGAGTAAAGAATGAGATTTTGGGAGTGTCAATAATAATTCCCAATATATAAACTTTTATGTTTGGATCATCTACTCTTATACAATGATTACATCTTCGTTTAGGTTTTAAAACCCTCATGCATAGTTTTTTTGTTTGAGTGCAAAATTAATAAAAATTCATATTAATTAATGTATAAGTGTGCAAAATGTACAATCGCTCGTAATAACATGCTTTACTACTTTTGTGAATGACTCAACTCCAAAATATGACACCATAATTTAACCGTAGATTGTCGTTTACACTCTATTCTTCTCACGGGGTTTCATTTTTCAAATTCTCTTTTTCGAAAACATGATCTTTTAACGAATGCATAAAAATGAGTGGTTCGGATCGTTGATATCACGTTTCCAATGTTTATGATTAACTGAAATATTAGTCGATATTATATAATTTATAGAGACTTTATAAACTCCAAGCAATAATTCCACTACCCATAAAACTCTGAATGGGATATCAATGATCTGAACTTTTCATTTTTTTGCATCCGCTAAAAGATCATGTTTTTAAAAGAGAAAATTTGAAAAAATTAATTTCGGTGAGAAAAATGAAAAGTAAACGTAAACGACAATCAACAGTTAAATTTAAATCTATGGTTTATGAGATTATAATGACGAATTTCAGAGTTAACTCCTTTACAAAAATTATAGAGTTTGTCATTACGAACGTTTGTATATTTTTTAAATATTTTTCACACTTCTACATTAATTAAAAATTTATTAAAAAAACTTTACTACACTAATAGCCATGAGATTTTATCTCACATAATTGAGATTAAATCCGTACCATTGGATTTTATATCTCACTTGTATGATTATATCTGATGAGATTGATATCACTCTATCGATCTTTTCTCTCAAACTCAGCGTACAAAACAAAACTCCAATCTCCAGTTTCCCATTTTCTCTGTCTCAACTCTCATGTTCACTCTCTCTCTGGGTCTCTCCCATCCCCATCTCTCGCTCGGTCTCTCTCTCAGTAATTTCTTTAAGGTAATTTCAATCGGGGTTTATGTAGATTTAGGGATTATATGCTTTTTTTCTCCTTAATATCACTTTGTATTTACAATTAAAATACTCTATATGTCATTTTGTTTCTTTCTATCAATCATTGTTCTGCGCACACCAAGTAAGAATGCATGGTTTTTCTTCCCTCTTGGTTCACTCAGAATTATCAAATTTTATAATCCATGATTTGCAGATAATAGCCAAATCTTGATTATTAATATCAAGTGAAAGATAATTAATTTGGTAATGGCGTATGTGGAAAATTGGAAATTGTCTACTTCTTAACCAGTTGGGTAAATGGTCAATTTTGAGTCGGGTTATATTACCTGTTTATTTTAACAAGTGTTACATGACACGACTTGTTAAAATATCGAATATGTTAAGAAAACAACACGAATTGAAGGAAAAGGATTCTCGCCGGATCCCTTTCTTAGGGATCCCGTGATCTCATCCGTTCATCGTATATCGTGCGGTCAGTTTTTGTTAGATATTGTTTATATTTAATTTTAAATTTTAAATTTTGAATGATTTATGATCATATAATATACGATGAATTAATATGTTCACGAGATCCTAGAATCCTTAGGAAAAGATCCGGCGAGGATCCTTCTCCGAATTGAATACCAAGTCTATTATTTTCCTTTTTTTTTACCGCCACAAACGTGGTTGGAAAGTGTGTAAATTTTGACTTATTTCCTAATGTTCTTGTCTTTGTTGCTTTGCAGCTTGTTTTGTAGGTACTTGCTAAAAAAAACGAAAATGTCGGACTGAGAAGTCTCTAAAAAATATACACCATCATTGGCATATGGAAAGTCAGAAAGATTACTCACGCAAATAGTTCACTCCAACAATTGGCTTCTCCCTTTCAAATTTTCAATGACCAGGTATTGATTTTTGCCTAGAGAAATAGTTTTCCACTGCCAAAGTATAGCCTTCTTTTTCATTTCTTCTAAGCCAGCTGGTCTGATGAAACTAATCCGTGTTGACTATGGCTAGCAGCAAAAAATACAAGGAGCCCCCACCTTTTTGGATGTAATTATATGCTCTCATTATCAAACAAAAAACAATAATTGAGAATTTAAGATAAAGGCTACAAAATAGTACATTTGCGCACAAAGAAAATACAAAATAGTCCGTTTTCCTGGTCTGGGATGGCAGCCTCTCCTTGTTCTAAACTTTTTGTAAAAAAAAAAAGAAAGAAAAGAAACTCCAAATATCATAGTTTTTTTTTTTTTCTTTTACCGAACAGTAATTAGATACGTTATGATCGAATATCAACACATGAACAATGTATAATGTATTCGAACAAGAATCCACTTAACTGATGATTAAGATTAACAACTGACGAGGCATTTCTAATCAATTTTTTTTATGGTAATATGCATGGAGTGCATGTGCTAGAATGGCATTTATGATTTCTCACATGGCAGTCTGCTGATGATATAAGATTGTACAAATAAAAGGGCTGACAAGCAAAGCCACCTAGAGAAGAGAGGCTTACATAAAACAAAAACATCGTTATTTTAGTGTTCCGAATTTATCACATGTCGACAACAATACGTGTTGTAACTTTACTAATGATCACTTGCTATGTTTGGGAGACTAAAGTAAAAGTGTATACAAGTCCTTATTCAGCTAGCTAATCACCATTAGTGTTTGAGGTAATAGCATAGAAACTATGTTGTCGAATTCATACCCTCAACAATAATCAAGTGATCAATTTACAAAAGCTAAGATTAAAAGCGTACCAAATTTGGGACGCTAGGAGCAAAGCGTACACAGTTTCAGATAAGTTCTTACCCAACCAGCCAGCCACAGTAGGGTTTGAGCTACACGTGAAATTGAATTCAGATGCTGCCATGAAAGAGTACAGACATGAAGAGAAGAGAAAGGCAGCCAGATCGGTTAGGTTAGTAATTGTAGTACTTTCTGCAATAACAAGCAAAGAACCAATAACATGTGGCCGCAATTGCAGCGGCAAAATCAATCAGAAAGATACAACAAAAAAATTTCACCGATTTCTGATGATAAACATTGCTTGTTGCTTTTTGAGCATTAGTTACCCAAAAAATGTAGGGTTTGTTACTTGCCCTTGCAAGATAAGGCATCTAAGGATTTGCAAGGAAGAAATCATGAAGAGTTAAATAGATATGATGGTATGTTAAGTACAGTCCATCAATCATATTGTACCTAAAATTCATGTGAGGGGTTCACATTCATGTGAAGGAGTGATGTTTCGTTGTCCTGGTGTTAATATTCTCATCTTTCTGTCTTTCTTCTCGCGCAATTGAAATCATTTCATAGAAGTATTTTTCCTACTCAAGGCTAGTTATCATGACTTTTGTCAAAGCTTGATTGGCCCATTAATTTTTCTCCAAAATAACAGAAGAAAATAACAAATAAGCGTACGGAAATCTCTACTCAGATTCAATAGTGCATTTTAGCTGGCTATTCTCCATAGGTTTTTCCCTCAAAGAGGATGCAACATTTTAAACAATATGAGTAGTTTTTCTATGATCAAAGATATAGCTTGATGAGGTGTGAATGTGGCTGACCACACAGGGCTCTTAACATATAGCTGTTACCATTTAGGATTATACGTATTTAAGTACAGTATTGTTTACCCCTTTCTCTCTCTTTACACGAATACTCGTCTCTGTCTCTTTCATCACATAACTGGAGCATACAGTACAGTGTTATATGCGAGCCTCTGCATTTTCCTTTTAACCCTAAACATGAACAATTATGGAAATTTAGCAAGGATTTTCTTGAGAGAGACTACAAACCACAAAGTACATACTACACTGCATAACCCTAGTTCAATTACAGAACATGTTCGATATAACCGTTGTACAAAATACATACTACACTACGCATAACCCTAGCTCAGTAACAGGTAGATGTTCAATGTAACCATCGATAAACTGGGCATGGAAGCCCTCAAATCAGATTATCAGAGTCTAGACTAAATGTAGAGCTATTAATCCCAAGATACTGCCTAATACTTTACAGCAACGATTACACTTGAAGCGCGACTTCTCTACCAAGTTACTAACACCCAGCTGCCTTGAGGAAGTTGTCAAATGGACTAGCAGGAGGCAGCCTCATAGCCAACCAGGGGTCCTGTGCCGATGCAGCTCCATGAGCATGCCCAATGTCAATCGTTATCTGCGTGAAAATTAACGTGTTCCAACATCAAATAAAGCATAAAAACAAGTAAACTGCTACATTATAACTAGTTGCTTTCATGAAAAGAAAATTAAATATCAGAGATTCTGAAAAATCAAACTGTCCCCGTGTGGCATCGCAACAGTTCTTCCACAAGCATGGCCAGAGTCCAATTCACTATAACAATCTAAAAAAAAAGAGTGGGGAAACGAAACAAGGTCTGACCTTCTGGAGTGCTGCACGTCCATCTGCAGGAAATGCTGGAAACAATCTGTCACGACCACTGCTCTGATGATTTTCATGGGCCAACCAGTTGGAGAGTTTCTTCCTTGTCCCTGTGCCAAGGGCTTCGCACTGGCTTGCCATGGTGTTGTAGGGGAGAGGTGATGTAGAGACAGTTGTCCCCGCTACTTGACCAGCTACCTCAAGTGCCTAAGAACAATTTTGTTCAGTTTTGGTCAAATATACAAATACATTAAGAATCTGACAACGGTGAAATCTTGTTGAATTTGTGGTTGTGTTGTTTTGTACAAAAAGATGCTTGTAGACAGAGAGGGAGGTGAGAAGGGGAGCAAGTGCTTACCGACTCCATCAGCTGTCCAATGCTGATAACATGGGGCGGTATAGAGGAGGATGTAGGTATTCTGGGAATGAAACGTGAGAGGTCAGCAACAGATGCTTCACTTGTCACATCATCCTCCACTGATGAATTTGATGGAAATTCCTGCAACATGAGGTGGAGTCATTGAGAATACTCAAACTTTCAATGCTATAGCTGTTATCATTGTTGTTTTTCTTAATTGGCATGATGGATGGTTGTGATCAATGTGGAACATAGCAATCCAGCAGTAGCAAGGGAAGCTAGACTAAAGAGTATACCCCATCAAACGATGATTCCTTTGAATGAACAGGCATTTGATTTTGGTCACAGTCAAGCATTGACTGTGGGCCAAACATGAATGCATCATCAGGTGTGAATGACTCTGAAAGTTGGTTTGCCACATCTTCTGCCTTCATCTTTAAAAAGAAAATCAAACAAATCAGAACATGTCTGGTTATATGTGTGCGTGTGTTTGAGAGAGAGAGAGAGAGAAAGAGAGAGAGAGGGAGGGAGAGAGATCCATAGTAAACCATCATACCTCAGAAACCTTTGATAGGAACTGAACTAAGATTTCCATCATGATATTGTCTGATTCGTATATTTTGTTCCGCAAATCAGATAGTAACGATGAAGCCATCTCGTTATCAGTAACAGATCCATATTTACTAACATCTGCATCACGCTTTACATAAATTTGAAGATCGTCACTGATGCCTAAATATGGATCAAACTGAATCTGAAAGATAGAGGAGATTTGTTATAATGATAATGTGAAAGCCCCCATCACTTAAAAGCCAGAAAACATCATACTACGATTGCTGCAGAGTTTTCAAATAGCAAGAGTATTCAGCATCAGGATAAGGTATACTCACATCATACGGTATAAATGACTTGAGCAGAGGAATATGATAGATCTTAGCCGCAAACATCAACATGCCAATCGAGAGTACAAGCATAGATCTTTGACATGCTGGAGTCAATGTCCCTGCCAAGCATTTAAGACGTTTAAGCACAAGTTAACCCTTTTTTTTATCGGAATTAATGACTGTTTAAGGATTTATGCTGCCCATACCATTGTTAGAATCAAGGGATGTATTCCTCAGAGACAGCAGAAGTTGAATGAAGCGAACCATAAGGTTGTCAGTTGGATTCTGCAAAATTACAAATTCCAACAAATTTGTAAACAATTACAGAAATACTAAACCATGTCGTCATAGCCATGCTAATAGAGGGTATATAAAGGTGAAGTGAGAAGCAACAGAAACATAATACACGACATAAATGAAGAAAAAAGAAGTAACGCAAGAAAAACTTCACCTTCAAATGTGAAGAAATAAGCACTAAGGTAAAAGAATGAGCTATAGCCTCAATATTTGAAGGCAAATTATCAGGGAGATTTGCTTGTATCCAAAACGCAGACAGCAAGTGTGATATTTGATCCTCACTAAACTTCATAACATACGGATCCTGAGGAAAACAAAAGCCCGAAAGTATAGACTTAGTAAAGTAAGTGAAAGTACTCTCCAAATGTGACCAGTTATATAATAATTGAACTTCTTAGTATCTTACTGGCTCTGTTAAGCTGACTGTTCCAGCCGTCCTGTCAATAATTGAGCTAATTTTGTAAACATTAGGGGAATTTTTTCGGTTACACCCCTGCTTCCAGACTTCTTCAGCAGTCTCTCTATCTCTAAAATCATCACAAGCATTACTGTTCCCGTGCTTTTCGGCTTTGGGGCCATCTTTTTCCTTCCTCAGCTTTTCAAGTCTTGCTGTGATTGATGCAAAGGTAGATGCTGTATTCGACTGCCATCCTCTTGATTGGTATCCAAAACCAGATTGTAAAGATGAAGATTCGTGCCGGGGCTGGTTAAAAGTTGGAATGAGAAGAATAGAAAATATTTGGTGTGCTCCAACACGCACCTCAATATCTGGATGCACCATGACTTTCAGAAGTTGGACAAGAAGGGACTCAGGAAACACCTACAAGAAAAAAATTAAAAACGGTTCAGTATGTCGTACTTCAAAGATAATAGCAGAAAAAAGTAATAGACAGACTTCAATGACATCTAGTAGATAATGTTGCTTATAGAACCATATTATCACAGTACTGGAAGCATTTTCTTCAATCAAATTAAAAACATAAATTACACATCCACCAAATTACATCTCCCTTGCGTACAAATCCAAATCCAAATTATGTCATCCAAAAGTATTGAACCAATCATTTTTAGCCTTCCCTAATAAGACTTGCAAGTATGTCTTTAATCAACCAACAGTGAATCTGAGTAATTTCCAAGAAAAAAATACTAAGAAGCAATGCATAAAAAATTCCAAAAGCAACAAAAAGTCTAAATTTCCTTCACCTGCTGTGTACGTGAAGAGATCAACGCTAATGAGATCATATGAGCAACAATCATTAAAGATCCAAGTGTTGCCCTAGCAACAATTCCAGATGGCAGATTCTCCAGAGTTATCGCCATCATGTCAAATAGTGGCCGAACATTGCCAATCTATTAAAAAACCAGCGCAGGCTTTTAGTACTAAAAGAAGCACCTCATACTGCAGCAAGTATAAAAACCACAAGTATAGAACTTACGCCTCTCGAAATTTCTAGTAAGCAGTCTTCAATGGAATTTTGTAGCATGATATTAATGTTTGATTCTTGCTCTCCAACTGATTCAGCAGTAGCTTGAAGACTCTTCCTCAAATGCCTACATAGGTCGGAGACAAATCCAATTTCTGCCAACACTGCACCAGATCGAATCTGGCTAGCCAAAGCACTAGCAACTTGAATGACAGAAGATTTGAGTTGTGGATCTTGCGAAATGGTTTTGTGGTCAAGATGACGGATCACATAGGCTAAAATCAACTGTTGATTCCCTGAAGCCAAATGCTGACATTAGAAAATAGCACCTGCGGTAAAGGGTTTGAGTCCATATGTAATTTTGCAAAGAATATCAAGATACCTGAAGCCTCCATAAAGTATGACATATCAGACAAAACCAGCATGGCCAACCCTTGTCGAGGAACCCAGTGGTGCCCAGAATCAAAGTAGACAAACATTGGATCCAATACTCGGCGCATCGTTGTGCTCTCCTTAGATAACTCTATCATTCTCTGAATACAAATTTGAGCCCACACTTTTGGTGTTTCAAACTCTTCTCTGAAACAATGAACAAAAAGTGTTACAAAAGGGCAAATGGATCAAAAGAAAATGCAATAGCATAGTTTACAATTACAAGTATCGACCAACAAGTACAAAACTCTTCCCTTTTAAACTTTCAATAACTCCTACCTCGTCAGAAGAGCAGGATCCTTCTTTTCTGGTCGTGGCCTGATTATCTTGCAGCTAGGACTAGCGTCATCGCCAACTACACCAACTCTGCTTTCACTTCGAACCACTTCATCCACCCAATTATGATGTGGCTGCCCTCTCTCATCATCTTCATTATGTGTATCTGGCTCATAGTTATCCAAGGTGACATGAACAATCTGCACTCACAAGAAAAAGGTTTGCAATGCTCAGTATTAATGAAAGAGTGGTGCCACTGGCTTGATATCTGATTTCGAAAGGACTAGTGCAACAACAAATTAGACATTTAAATGTCCGCGAAAAGTTTGTATAAGATAACAATAATCACTGAAACATTTTTAATAGCTTGAAAAAATGATACTGGAAAAAACTAACCTCATCAAAATCAACAAAAATATATGAAAATTCTGCCATGAATTTCACCTGCCAAGGTGGAAATCTATCAAATTAACATTTTCCAACTAAAAACAACAACAGTCCTTAAAGAGTTTCAAGAAGTCAAATCATAAAACTACCATGGCTGAAAGGCACTGCAAACTTGATGCTCTCAAGCTTTGGTGATCTTCACCACTTTGACATGCAAGCTTACATACTTTGTGAACCAAACTCTCAATGGTATGTGTGTAAGTGCCGTCTGTCTGTTCAGTGATTGCATCAATAAATAAAACAAGACGTTAATCAAATGTATTACTTTTGTACATAAAACTGAAGAATTTCAATCATCCATTAACAGAATAAGAAATGCCACAGGTAACATCAACCATTATAAATACAATGACAAGATACATAAGGTAGAATTTACCCTCACTGTTCACAATTCCACTTTGACAGACAAATTCCATGTCTTACACTTTAGATGGTGTGGCATTCATGATCTAACCTCATGTATAATTCTAGAGCATAACATTGAGTTTTAGCTTAAACAGAAAAGATCTTCTAAAAATTCCATGTAATGTATACAGGTGGATACCTACATCCACAGGACTTGTGTTATGTCATGTTAAGATAGTAAAATTAAGTTTTTATTGTATCTAAAAGAGTGGTTAGATGTCCATAAAGCCGCAAAAGTGGTTTCTTTTTATTGTATCGAAAAGAGTCCATTGTCTACCTATAGACTTGCGACACTACAGCATTGAAAGGCAGATCAAACAACTATTTCGAGAGTGAACTTTGGAATCACCTGACTATAGATGAAATTAGTTAGAGTTTGGCATCCAAGTATGCGCACAGTATCTTGCTTAGAGTTGTCCAGGAGCTCAGTAACCACACTCACCAGACTGACTGCAAAACAAGCCCTGAAAGATATGAAACATATCAATTCAACAAGAGAATTACATTAAAAAATTCGAGAGAGAGAGAGAGAGGGACATTTAAAGCACATAAAACATAAGAACATATCCAATAATATATAAGAAAGATACGTTGTTCTTTGCCAAGCTAGAAGAGAACAAAGTGAAATTGTGACTTGAGTATAGAGTTTTCCCAGCAAGCCTAATCGTACAAAATTCAATACCTATACAACAATAGTTGCATCCAAGAGATATATCAAACAGACCCTTTTTCCACAAAAATCACTAACAAACTTGTTTTCAATGGTGAGAGAGAAAGGAAACAGCTACTTACATCTGCTCCTTACACAGGCAAAGCAACTTGTTGTAAGTGTCTGCAACAATATTGATGAATTTGATGTGCCCCAGTCTAAGCTCTTTGTAGCACCTATCTTCAAGAAATTTAGCAATCTGTTGAAAAATAAGCAACACCTACTGGATTAATAATAGCCTCAACAGTAAGCAATCAGTTTACAGTAAGCCAACTTTTACCGACCAAGAAATATATAAAAGGGATAGAAAATTTCATACCTTTGGGATTCGAAAAGGGTTTTTGGCAGCATATTCACATAACTTAACAATTTTTCTTTCATTGGGAGGACCATCCTGAAAATTTTGGGACACTTAACTTCAGTATGCCAGCTACTGTAAGAAAAGCATACATAATAACTACTTTTGGCTTAATTGAGTTCTTGGGTCCAAGTATTCTAAACCTTATGTATAGATAATTAGATAGAACAATATTCTCTTTCCAAACAATCAGGTAGTTGCAACATTCTCAATCCGATAACATCATAATCATTTAGACTTTATGTGTATGATTGACAGTCTTAGTTCATAGTTTGTAACACACACACACACACACACGAACATACACCTGGTACTTACAACGAAGAACCATTGTGAAACTAAGGATGATATCCAGGTTCCATCTAGATTTAATAATTAGAAGAGAAATGAAAATATAAAAAGTTCAAAGGGAATCCCTTTCAAGCATCAGAACCAACTTTTTTAGTAACTCCATTAGTTCCAATCTAAAATTAAGGAATAACCTTCAAGAACGAGAAAACAGATAAACAATTGGAACGGAGAGTCTGACTTTTGTTCCACCAATACCCACACTAAGGCACATGATCAAGCAGTCAAATTACCAACTACTATCTGCCGTTCACAACGAACGTGTCAACAATGCCATAACATTAAAGGGTTTAAGCTAGTATTATACTCACAGGAGACTTGGGAAAGATTTCCGCAAGCAGCTTTTTGTAACGCTTAACAGGTTGTCTAGATCTCGACCTCATAGCAGGGCAGCATATGCACATGCTTTCACACGCCGGGAACAGCTTTCTAGAGATGAGCCCCATTTCCTGAAAATCTAAAAAGCCTGTTCGATTAACCCAACAAATTACAGTAAACAGCAACTTTACAATCCCAGCAGAAAATCCCATATCATACATAACAAATGCATATACTATACGCACTCAAACATTGACATGATGAGGTGCAATAAGATAACAGAAACAGAAAAAACACACAACAAGAAATATCAAAAGAAAGAAGAATTCCCACAATCTTCTTATTAAAGAAGAAACGGAACGGATGCTAAAAGGAGAAAATTTGAGACTGCATTGATACAAAAATGAACCAAAATACACAAGAAAACTGTATCACAAGAAAAACAAACATGAAAAAAAAAAGGATCACAACCAAAATAAAAGTTCAACAACTATTACTCTAAAAAACAGAAACCAAGTAAATAATGATAACCCAGAATCGAAACCCACATAGAAATCCAAATAAACGTGTAAAGTTTTCACCTTTGAGAGAAGAAACAGAAACCCAGAAGAAAATTACAGAGAAAAACACGAAGAAAACCAGCCAAGAACTCACCTTGTTTTTGCAGAGGCAGATCTGGATAGGGAAAATTTTACCTCCAATGGGATTTAATTTAAACAGGAAGAACAAGTAAGCGTGGGAAACAGAGAGTACGAGCTACTTCACTCCACGTGATGGGGTGTCAGTTTTCTCTTCTTCTTTTTCTTCCCTCGTTCTGAAAAAGGCACTGCTTTGTTGGGTCTGTCAGAACTTGGTAGACAAAACTTTCTTTTATTGGTTTTTTGAAGTTTAAATATTTTGCTAATCTAGGGGGAAAGATACTGTCCAAACTAAAATAAGAGGTGAGCTTTTGTTAATTAATCTTGAAAACAGACTAATTTCATTGATTAATTATTTAACTTTTCAAGCTTTTGGGAATGGTAGGGACATAAAAGAACTTACCTTTTATTTGAACTCTTTCTGGGTCTCTGGACTTTCTTTTGAACTTTCAAATATGTAATGATGTGTAATGGAACCTTTTATCCCTATGTTTTTTAAATTGTGTAGGTTGTCATGATAGCAGTATTTTAAGTCAATGCTTATACATAAGACGTTTCAACATTAAAGCGTTTCATAGATTTAAGACGTTTCAACATTAATGTTTATAAGAGTTAAAATAGTTATCGCATCCACCGATTAAACGGCCTCAAGTGACTTAGTCAATGTGTCCAAAAGCAAAAATTGAAAAAAAAAAAAAGCCTATTAAAAAATTTTAGTACTATTTTCTGGCAATAAATCCACAATTATAAAAAATCTTCAATGCAATATATTGTATGTAGTTATTTTGTTCATTTTTTAGTTAAAAACTTACATGACAAGAAAGAGAAAATTTTGAGCAAAAAAAAAAAAAAAAAAGAGAAGAGAAAAATAAATAGAGAAATGCTAAATGGGCTCTTGTAAATGTGAGATTCCCCGTGGACTCTTTGACATCTTATATTTGTGGTAAAATATTTTATAATATTAACATGAGAATTGACGTTAAATTGTGAGATAAAATAAAATTCATAAAAAATCTCACAATTAAAGAATTTTGTCATTGTTTCTCAAATAATTATACAATATGAGACATGTAAATTCATTTTTGAAGAAATTATATGTGATGTCTTGGAGACTCCAAAAAGAGTACAAATAAAGTGGAACAGCCCACGCTTAATCAAGTTTAGGTCCCGTCATTTAATAGATCATAGTGACATTTTTATTCATTTGTAAGTGAAAATTTTTAGATTTAGTTTTCACTAAAGACGAATTTAAACCATATTATTATTGCCAATTGTGAAGCCTTGTCCACTCTCTTATATTCTTAGTGTAAATAATCTCATTTATTAAGCAAATACAAATAAATAACGTTTAGGTCCCTTTCCCAATTACAATTAGTGGGGCCTTGGTTTTTGGGTTAAAAATCTTTCCCAAGAATCTTTATTGTTGTTATTCTATGTAGATGCTTGGACAAAGAGGATCATGTGAACTTTGAAATTACCTTCATTAATACATGCATCTCATTGGCTAAGATAATAGTGCCCATATTTTATCAAAAACAACACCGAGGCCAGTTTAGGTCGCTTTCGTAAGAAGCATAATTTACATGTTTTGAAAAAAATTCCAGTGGGCCTAACACAATTCAGTACAGTAAGTGTTGTAATTTAAGTGGTTGATTTTTTTTTTTTTTTTTAGTATACAACTACTTGTATTTTGACACTTCGTGACACATTGAAAAATCGCTCGTATGTTATGGTTGTGGAGGTAGCCTTGCATATATTATGTATTTAAAAAGAGTGAATTGCCAATTTAATTCCTGAATTATCACATGAGTGAAAATTGAAGGAAGATTATCTACCCTCTTATTCTCATCCTCTCATCTCACAAATTACTTTTTGTCTTATTATCTCTATAAAAAAAAATCAATATAAAATGTTGATATGGCTTAATCGTAACCGTTCAAATAGGAGGGCATGAAAGGGTAGAGAGATTAGGAGGGTAGAGAATCATTCTCCGTGAAAATTAGGTCTCTAAACTATTTTTCCAGAATCAGCCCTTGAATTATAAAAATATGCCAATTACACCACTAATATTAGATTCAAAGCTACCATATTTAATTTTCTGTTAGTTTAAGTTACGTTACTTGCATGTGATACACATTTGAGCGTATGTGGGTAATTTTTCATTAAAAAAAAACAAGTATATGGAGTTAACTTTGGAGGGTAAATTAGACATTAGATTTGCAACCTATATGAAATGTTAAGGGCTTATATGTGAGAAATAACGGTATTACACTCTAAAGTGTGTCAAGTAACTCAAGTTGACGAAAAATTGGATAAAATAGCCTTGAATATAATAGTAAGGATGAAATTAGCAATTTTTAATGAATTTAGGGACTTATTTTTCCAAATATATATATATATATATATATATATATATATATATATATATATATATACATTCAATGACCTAGTTTTTAGTCAGGTGATAGTTCAGGAACTAAATCGACTCTTCACTTATTATGGCGTTGATGGTTGAATTCTTTATTTAATGATTAAAGAATGAGTCAAATCCACGCAGTCTATCTTTATTTATTTTTAACCACAACAAGTGCCCAGTGGTAAAGACGCAGATTCTGGTTCCCAAAATACATAAAGAATGAGTCAAATCCACGCAATCTATCTTTATTTATTTTTAACCACAACAAGTGCCCAGTGGTAAAGACGCGGGTTCCCAAAATAAAAAAAAAACAAGGATATTCTGGTTTCGAAGCTCCAAGCTGGTGAGTCTACTTGTCTGTGGCCAAGGAGAGATTGAAATACATCAGTGAATCTTTCCGGCCCCCGAAAGCGGTGGATACCTATGGACTTTTGTGGACCCCCACTTGAATGCGACTGAACAATAGAGTACGGTAAGGTCCACCCTACCTAACATAGACGCTCACAAATGCACGTATTTTTCAGGGTCATATGAAACAGCAACAATCTTCTTCCCAACAGTTCCAAGTTCCACCCTAAAAAGCTTTCACTTTACAAATTCAATTTACAGCAAAGGCTTTGACCGGAATAGAAAAACTACCGTGGAGGTCGACGGAAGGTAAAATTTTGATTTGTTTTCATCACTCAAGGCAGTACTTTGCACGCAACTTATCAAGCTTCCATGCCTATGCGATTGAAGTTGCCTCGTTGTAGAATACTTCATCCCATATCTTATCAAGGTCTGTTTTGCAAGGTATTGGGTTAGTATAATGATTATGCCCAACTCTAGATATGCGACTAAGAACTGTTCTAAAATTTTAAGCCTAGCTCTGCCTAGGTGTCAGGCGGTGTGCCACCGTTCTGATTAATGTCTAGACGTTTGAAAATTTAGAAGGGACGCCTAGACCTATTGAGGCGCCCGCCTAACCCGCCCAGACATACCTAGACACCTGTCTAGGTTGCAACTCACTTAGAAAGAAAATAAATAACTTTTCATTTTGCATTATTTTTTTTAATAAATTGTAAGAAACTTGTTGAATACTAAAATAAACACAAATTATATGTTTGTTCATCATGTTTTCATTATATTTCAATACTTCATAATATATATGTCATTCTATTTTGTAATTTATAATGTAATTATATATTTTTTAAGTATAAACAGACATTTATTTACACGAAATATAATATATTTAATCTGCCTAGACCGCCGAGGCTAGGCCCCAGTCCACTACCCGATTAGCGCCTAGCGTCTTTTAGAACCTAGTAAAAAATGAAGCATATAACGGTAGGCAGAAAACTGAGCCTAACGTATCAAAACATAATGAACAATAAAAATCGTGCCACGTTGAAGGACCTTGTTCGAATGACATTTCTGTTTTCTTTCAACTAGATCGAAACCCTTAAGCTTTTTAACAAATCGAGGAATTGTAAGGATGCATACCGGCCTTGTTCGAGGATGAAAGAAAAATGATGAGTGTGTCAAATCTGGGTACCTTGGTTAACTTTTCCAAAAAATTGACGGCCAAATCCATTTCTTCACTGCCAAAGAAATCATGGGGGGGGCATAAGGCATCTCATCAAGCTCAACAAGAAAAACATACTGATGAGACATAAGCAATACTTACACTAAAAAGGTCGCCACGCATTTGATAATGTCAATTAGTACGGGAACAGTCGAAGCATTTTTGAAAATCTGCAGCAATGCAGTAGCAGATATAGACTGCATGGAAAACCAGCAAAACTAACATGAAACCGGTATGGAAAGTCAGAATTAGTTATGACTGCCTAAGCAATTACCAACTATACATACAATTTTCTTACTCCTTGATGGACATGTGAACTTGTTCATATAAATGGATTCAAATGGGAACCTCTTGGGATGGCAGTGGTCAACGAAATGGATGACCGTCATGCAAAACAAGCACACTAAAGGTCACCCACTTTGAGACGATAGAAAGAACACATGAATCTTGCATTTTGGACGTCTATATTTATGATAGTAAAACACAAGAATACATTTTCAGACTTTCAATAGTGAGGCCTCGCAGAGCACTATCTCCAGTGAGGCCTCGCCAAGAAACCTCAAATTGATATGCAGTAGTTGGTGGTGTGATGTTTTTCTCCACAGCTACAACCTTGGCTTTGGAAGCAGCTCGAGAAGCAAGCTCTTGTACCGATGCCTTCATCTCTTGCTTCTTATTTGTGGTATTTCCCTACAAAACAATCATACAAAAGCAATTAAAAATATGAAGATAATGCCTTTATGATAAAATGATACGGTAGGAGTAACGTATAAGTCTGGTAAGAAGCTAACAAATGCAGTTGAATACGGCTTCATAAACTAGTATATTTTACTTATTAGTACTACCAACAGAAAGACAAATCAATTACAACAAAACAAAAATCAAGTAGAAGGGGCAACAGAAGACTAATCCTTACGACCTTAGTGTGATCTTGAACTGCACTTATTTCTGTAATTTGAGTACTGCTTCAGACAGGCTGGATGCCGTTTCCATTTACGTTGGTATCCGACTTTCCCCTTTTCTGCATTTCTTGTACAGAATTTTTCAGCGCTCCAGATACGTTCTGAAGATTTGACTGGCAATTAACAATTACAATGAGTCAACTTACTAATTCAATGAAATAATCATGATGCTAAACAATCAAAAGCCAATCAAACTCAACTCCATCTCGCAGAAGTTTGTACTGACGAAACAAGCACGAAAACCAGATTCAAGCCTGGATTAAGCATGCAAAAGGCCTCTAAAAAGTCAAGGCAAGTATATCCCATGAATGCCTAACTATTAATAATTGTACTCGCAGGAATAATAACAACGAACAGGAAACGCTAAAATGCCCTCCCCCTTAATTCATGCACACAGTTCAAAAGTTTAAATATGCAGAAGGATAGGTTTTTCTAAAGATTTAAGTAACAATTCCATGGGTTAATTAACACTACTGAAACGGCCCTCACGAATATAATTTAGATATAGAGAACCAACAACTCCAGATGCGTGTGCAAATTTGCTTACTTTGTCATACAAAGATTTGGCCTCCGTGTACTGTTTCTTGATTTCTTGGTTGTGAGGCTCCAACCTCAGGGCAAACTCAGCATCTGCAGTTGGCTATATTCATTACATCAGACAGATCAAAATTACAATATCAGAAAAGAAACCGTAAATGAGACGATATCAGGAAACAAGGTCGTTGTTTAGTTTTAAGCCAACCCTCGAATGATTCTTTAAGCTTTCCAAGTTCTTTTCTAGCCGTTGCACGTCGTGAGTATGCTTTTATATAACGATCATCCAAATCCAAGGCCTCTGTGCGGTCATCCTTAGCTTCCTGAAATCTAAAGAACAAGATGAAAGTACACATATGCTTCAGGTCATTCGTGAGAAAATACCCTGTAAGAGCTATTACACAAGCACATGGCTTGCCTACATATGAAAACTGTGAACGGGATTTTGGAAATTATTATGAGAGGGTGCCTTTAGTAGCTTGACAGTAGGAAAAGTCTAGAGGCCTAACCGCAGCTATTGAATCTAGTCTTCACAGAATCCTTTGACAGCGGCATAAATGACTGGATTTTTCTTTTCAATTGAAAGTGGTGCGGTTATCAGCTGCATCAACACTTTCCTAGAAGAATTTTCTCAGGAACCAAACACAGCATAGCATATCCCACCATGCGACAAAAATTGTATACGAGGAAAACTTGACCAGAGACACGGTTTGTGGTGGCGAGCAAACATGGAACCTTACAACTTTGTATAGAAAGGGCGGGCTGTTTTATGTACGGTTTGTGCATATAAGTTTCATCTACATATACAGTAGTACATCACCAGCTATTGAACTAAATTAATAAGTGCTGTAGGACTATCCTGCAACGCCAGTTTCCGCGAATCAACAGGCAGAAAGAGGAGCCATCTTTTCATGTATTGCCTTGTAACACTGGAGACTGCACAGAGGGAGCTTCGACTGCGAATCCCGGTACTTGTATGGATTTGTACAATATGGTCCGGCACACTTTTCACGGGGAGGAGGGTAACTGAAATCGGAATAAAACATAAAAACAAAACTAATAATTATCAGATAAACTTCACGACATATATTTTTTTTAAATGGGGAGAGGTGCTTGAAAACCAGGTTTGAGACGTAATGATCTCCATAAATTTTACATTTAAGGGGGAAAAAGGTGAGCAACCGAAGCCTAATTTTATAACCAGCTGCTTGTCGTCAGAAATTTGAGAAACATTTGAAGCTCAAACGGCTATGAAAAGCCTCCAACGGTCGTGGAGGCTGGATATTAAGGATTGGTTCAGAAATAAGCACAACGATATAGAATTGTTCAAGACCGAAGAGACGCATAGAAGCTGTATCTAGATTTGGGGAAAAAACTACATATAATCGTAGAAATAAGTATCTAGAATTTTCAAATGCTCTTACCTGCAAGGTTTGGAGTCGAATATAGCTGGCAAGCCCATTTCATTGGGGAAAATTACAACCGATCCTGATACACCCATCATGACACATCCCGATCTAAATTAGAACGTGCTAGCCATCACGTAAAAGTGATATAATATGTGCATAGTGCAAAAGCAATAATGATATACAAAAATAGGAGTGAATAAAAACCAAACTACTAAAAGTACTAGCTCCACTTCATAAGACAAGTCATTGAATCTCCTGTAATACTCATTTGCCGTCGTCATTTTTCCCTGATTGGCATCTTCGCCTGATTCCATTCTCCACTGCTGCTACCAATCAGGAGAAGGAGAAGATGACGGCAAATGAGAATTACAAAACTCAACAGAAAGACCAAATAAATCGAAAAGATTTTACCTTTAAATTGGGAAACGAAAATCCTCGGAGAACCTTGAGATTATTATCACCGACAAGATTGCTCTGATCGAAACAGAATTAAAAGAATACGAATTGGGTTTTGGTGAATAGTTGGCGTAATGTGATTGGAGGACGAGAGGTGTGGAGGAGAAGGAGGAGGAGAGCTGGGTGAAAGTTAGGGTTTTTGTTGCAGGGGAGGGGACCAAAGTTTTCACCATCGTCGTAGTAAATTGAATGGTGCTGGGTTTTTCCTGGGTTTTTTTTACCGCCTTGTACGTTAACCTGTTCCCGCTGTCGAGTTCTCCAATCGGACCGTTGGGTTTGGACCAGGGAGTGCGTAGGCTAGTAACCGACGCACCCTGGTGCATATTAGCTGTGTTCATTTTAAGGTTTTCTTTTCTTTTTCCTCTTATTTTTCCTTGCTATTTTTCACAAATAAAAATAGCTATTTGTTCTACTTTTCCAGCTTGTTTGAGAGTTAAATAATGAATCTTTACAAGGGATTTATCGAAACATTTGGTAACTGTAAAATTAATAACCATAAGTACAATTTTACCGTCACGAAAAATACAAAGACTCTTGAGAAAACGAATAAGATTTACAGACAATTTTTATAAAATATGAGCGATATTGAAAAAGTGAAGGATTATTTGTTGTTCGGTTTAGAACTTGAACACTAGAATGACATTTTCTATTTGGAAATAGCCTTACTTGGTCAATTTTATGTTCACTTAGTCATAGGATAAAGAATGTATGAGTTATGTTAGGGTCAGTCGTTCACGTGCGAATGAGAAATTTTTCATTATAAATTAGTGTGAAACTCACTTTTAAACAACGAATGCTCAATCTTTGAGCAACCGAACTTAGCAAACAATAAAGAGAAATAAGAAAACTAGTTTCCATAATTTTGTGATGCGAAACTATGTTATTAAAATGTATACTAAATTCTTATACTAGCCTCATTGGCAAAACACCATTTCTTAAAGTCACTTATTATTTTACAAAAGTTGGTTGGAATAATTGATGAAAGTGTACGTGTGATGGCACTTAAGTTCGAATCACTTCAATATTCATTATAATAAAGAGAATTGTTTTCCAGCTGCTTTCTGTTTAGAAGAAATTTCAATAGTTTTACAGCTCATTGAAAGCTTAAAGTCTATGAGTTCTACTTCCATTCTACAAGCAATTAATGACCTTAATTTACAAAACCACAAGAAACACAACAATTCAAATCAATTCAAGTCATTCAACACTTGTAACATTTAATACTACAGAACATAGAAGAATTTTTCTAAATCTACATCAATAATCCAAGAATGCTGCTAGCTCAAACATCTAATAGATTAAAATAGTTATAGATACTGTGTTGTCATAAAAACATCTACGATTAGTTAGATTTAGAATTTTTTTTTTCTTCTCTCTCTCTCTCCAAACGATAGCATTTATGAGTTAAATTATTAGTTGTAAGAAAAAAGGAAGATTGGTGGGGATTGAACCCGCATCATAATACATAGACTTAATTACTTACCACTACTGCGATAAACACTATTTGCAGATAAATTTCGAGTTGGGATTTGGATCCCCGTTGGATCCCCTCCCTAAGGATCAACGCACACGGATTGTTGATCAAAAATCGTGCGGCCCCAATTGAATGCTTTTTATATTTTTAAAAGTAAAACAACTTTGTTTTACATGAAAAATATAAAAAAGGAAAAAATTGTGACTGCATGATTTTTTATCAACGATCCATATGCGTTAATTCCTAAGATTCCTAGGAATAAGGTCTGGCGAGGATCCAATTCCTACGGAGTTGGACATTAGATTTCTTTTCATCTTCTACTCAATACTTTTTTTCGCTTGAATAAAATGAAAATTTGATCAAGTTAGTTGGACTACACATTCAGACAGCAATCCTCTCATTTCTCCAATCCTAGTTGACACGTACGTTCCAAAGAGTGGCCCCACGTTTGCTGGTCTCGTGGGACCCACCCAATGAACTGGAACTAGAAGTGCTATTGAGTTAAGACCGTCCCGTGGGGAATGAGGAAATTGGGCATCTGAAACAGACGGGTCAGGGGGGCGAAAACCGACGTGGCTGACGCAGCCACCGCCTGTGACGGGGCAGATGTACGTGTCTGGTTGACAAGACCGGGGACGTTCGAGTGACCGCTCTGACGACCATTACCAACGATCAATCAGTCAGTCACAAAGGACCCCGGTGGGGTGACGTGGATGACAGATCCGACGGTTGACAGCGACTCTGAGGCCCCTCTTTTCCTAGACATCACATACACGACAGTAGCGCGCGATGCGCGGGTGCTCTCATTCCTCCTTTTGTGCACCCAATTTTGTCATATCAAATGCTCTCTTCGAATATTTCACCTTTTTCTTTTCACTTTGCCTAATTAATTTTTTTCTTTTTTCTTTTAATTGTTCATGTTCGGTTTGGTGGATTGGATAAGATATGTTGTAATCATTTAAAATGTACCTTAGTCAAGTTCGTTGTTTGTTTTGCCAAACTGTGAAATGGACAAAATTGAACAAGATAGGTTATAAATCCACAATGAAGTGGGTTTTCTAACATATCCTTATACATAAGTTACAAATTTATCTTACAAATTTCTGTCAATCTAATCATATCCTTAAAGCCTAATCTTATACAGCACACCAAACATGCTCATAAAGAACTACATGGGAAAATTTCGATTGGTGCTTAAACTTTAATTTAATTGAAGCTTTTAGTCTTTGAACTATAAATTTGTAACTGGTTACTTTTTTCATATATTTTTCAAGAAATATTGTGCAAATAAGCTTTGAAGATAGTATGGATCGTTTGGAAGTGTTCTTAAAATAAATAAAAACGTTTTTGGTGAAAATATTTTTGAAACCAATCTTGAGTAAAAATGCAATTGAATCCTAAAAATAAAACACTTCCTTAAATGCTTTTGAAACTCAAAAACATTTTCTCTAGAAGTGTTTTCAATCATTTTATAAGCATGTTCAAACGAGTCTGAAATCTTGACACAACCACAATCATAATGCTCATTTACTAATATACAAGAAAATCATAACTAAGCTAAACTCATAATATTACATTGACTCCAGACACCATACCAGCAGATCATCATTTGACACAAAAGAATTTACATGTGACCAACTAGTATGTGCCTACATCACCTATCTAAAATTACAGAATCTTAAAGACCAAGTTAACATAGAAATTTATGCCTATATATATGTGGTTGTCTCTAATAAGATCCACCAGGTTAACTTCCTGGTCCTCCAAGTGTTAAAAACACACCAGGAAGATCACTTCTTTCCTTGGCTACAGATGGATTGGCTCGAACGGGCAAAAATGGTCGAGTCGCCTGAGGTTGACTGAGGCCTAGGCCGGACCCCGGCATGGAATTCCTCATTGGCTGCTCGGATAGCTTCAAAGGTGGCTCCAAATGATTCGAGTTTGGAAATGGTTTTGCCTCGGAAATGGGAACTTGGCTTGTTGAAGCGAAATTTGGCCGCCTTGAGATGATCTCGGGTCCCTGGTTTTGGCACATTCAGTTGCATAAAAAAGTTAACGTTGATTTGCAAGCACGTTAGTGAGTGAATGGGACGTGTGATTTTCGGACAAATTTTTTTCTACCCCTGCACACCTTTGTTGACGAAAATAAAAATACGTGTAGAAGGAGAAAAGGGGCGTGTGTAGAAATCACTTCTCTAATCATTATGTGTTGGTTTTACAATGTAGTTGAAATAGGGAAGCTTACTGGTGCAAATAAGACTCCTCTATATAGCCTTCCATTAACCATCGCGGTCATTAGGAAACCCGAGTCGAATGCTCCATCAACTTTGCCTTGAACCTCAGCACCCATCTAAGAAGACACAAAACCCCAATCAAAAGCCGAGCATGGTAAAGAGAAGTATAGTTTCTGTCAATTACCGACGGAAAGTGAAATTAAAGGAATGCATACCATGTTCTGAATAGGCCCTGCCTCAAAGTGTTTCGATTCTACCGCTTGAAATTCCATACTTGGTCTACCAAAGTTGGCATGAAGATACGGTTCTCGCTTCAGTTCAGTTTGATGCTCTCCTAACAAGTTAAAGTCTGCAGATCTTTGTGCAGAATTTCTAATATCTTTATGGTTGCTTGTGACATTGGGAGATTGGCTATTGCTCGGACTATGATTGAATTTCTTAAACAGATGAAAACCTCGAGAACCTGGGGAGGAATCAACAACTTTAGGATTCGGGACCTGTTCTTGATCAGAGTGTGATGGTGACGAATGCTGGGAGAGTGATAGAGAATGCTCCTCTTGCTCTGATTCGAGGTCTATTGATTTTGTACTTGTGGTTCTTCTCCTCTTTGGATGTAAAGTATCTACATTTATGTTTGCGAATGAATACTCGTTAACAATGATTTCGTGTATACCTAATAGAAAGAGTATGAATTTTATACTACATGATTTCGTGTATACCTGATTTGAACCGGAGAGATTGTTTGGGTTCTGATTCTGGTTCGTGTGTTGTCTCTCGTACTGCTACATGATTCCCCATTAGCGTAGTTTTCTGCTTTAAGCATTTACAAAAACACTCCTCGTCATTATCAAAACATAAAGGATGCACTAAAGTGCTGCACTATTACAACTTTTGTACCGTGTTAAAATCTGCTCCTTTTGAGATCCTCCGCCTATCTTGGTTCC